TTAATCGGTGTCAAATGAGAACACTGTTGCAATAATTCTCGGCTTACTGACTGCGGAGAAAGGTTAAGTGACTTAATTGTTTGTACACTTATCTCCTCTAAGTCGTTCGAGTAAATGCCTTTTATCTTAACGTTTAAGCGATACGAACTGTCGTCGTTAATTTGCTTACCTCCCACGGCTTCAATACGTAGCTCTTCTTTACGTCCGCGAGGCGATAACTTCTGAGCCATCCACTCCTCTATGAGTGTCATGATCGAGCATTCATCCAGAATAGCTGTTGTCTTGACCTTTCCTCTAGGTCCGTACAACTCGACCGGTATAATCTTTAAGTATGCATATGCCAGTGCACTGTACTAACAGTTGTAATTTGAGCCTCTTTACCCCCCCTCGTCCCCTTGCGGAGAGGTATTTTCATTGGGGTATCGGTTTAGCATTCGATGATGTGACATTCTACATCCCTTTACACCACATTTTTTTCGCTCTGCACTCTAACCTCCTATGGTTAGGTGACAAACATTGGAAACATACTTTCGCTTTTTTGACCGCGTCCCATTTCTCGCGAATATTCATGTCCTTAAACTTGTAACAACTCACTATAAAGTGCTCCTTGTTGCATATAACACATTTATGTGTTACCCGACTTACAGGCTTGTCCTGAGTTATCATAACCACTTGTCGGTTGTGCCCTTTATTATTTCGGCGTTCTAGACGCTCGCTCGTTTTACTTCGGCGCTCTTAGCACGGTTGCGTTCACACCCCTTTGCAGTGTGTACAGTTTGCTTCCTGAATTCAGGACGCTTCCGTTTTTCAGGCACTTTTACATTGCTTAAGGACGTTCCAAATTGTTCACTCAATAAATTTAAAAACTTGGCCATCTTCTGCAACTCTGGCTCATTAGGCAAATTTAATCATAGTTCCAAGTTTCTCTACTATACGGTTTACTAACTCCGGTGAGTATAAATACTGTGGTTGATTCAACGCTTGTATTGTGGCAACCACGTTCGTAATACGACTCGCAAAAGATCCTATATTTCGGCAATCTTCCGCCAATCTTGGCATACGTTTTACATTCTCGATTTTGGCTAAAATGAGCATCTCAACCCTACCGAATCTTCTTTCGAGAGCGTTCATTATTTCTTCAGGTTCACACAAAGTAAACAACAATGACTTAATCGCTTCCTTAGCACCCCAGCACCTTAGCACCTTAGCACCAAGGGCACCCCTTTAATGCCCTCCTAAGGCGTGCGACATTCTGCACCCCTGAAAATTGGCTCCTCGTGTCTTCAAACACCGTTTTGAAAACTATCCATTCACCCGGGTCTCAATCGAACACCGGTAATTCCTGGAGGAAATGAAGCTGGGAAGACTTATCTTTTCCCGCTATCTTTATTGCACTCACAATCGCTTCGGTCAATTCTGACACCTCACTCGCGTGTGTTTTCCTTTTCGGCGTTGCTTGTAGCTGCCATGGACGTCCCTGAGTCCCACGTGCATGTGGACGTGTCGGTGGTGGCTCCACTTGAAGGAGTTACCCCACTCGAAGCAGTAGCTGTGGTCGCTCCAGATGGTTCCGCATTTTTAGCCTTTCTTGAGAGCCCTGTCCTTGTCTGGCTTCCTTCGCTTCTCCCTGTCTGGTCTTGTGCCTTCTTCATCTTGCAGGAAGGTGATTGTTGGCCTACGGTCCCTAACTGTCCCTACGGTCCCTACAACCCCTTACCTACAACCCTTCTACACCTCAACCTAACCCCACTACCCCTCCCCCTCCCCTTTATCTCCCAAACCTACAACCTTACTACCACCCTAACAGCCCTATCAGCCCTATCAATCCTGAACGGGGCCCACCGAGGTGAGCCATCCAGGGATGGAGTCGTGCAGGAATGGAGTGGAGGAAAGGTTTAGGAACTGTTCCGCCAAGGAATATGACGAAACAGTCGAGCGGTAGTGCAAGCGCAGTCTCGCTCGAGAGAACTGCTCCACCCGAAGGTGTTGTGCCAGAGCCCAACCGTTTGGCACCGTTAGGTGGTCGGGATGTATGCTGCACCTCGTCGCCCAGTCACCGGTGACACCTCGTCCAAGCGCCCTCCTCCGGCCGCGATGCAGTCAGGTGCCCACGAGCACCCTCGCCTGGTAGCAGCAGCGGTGGATGCTTCTTCTTCTTGCACCCTCTGATGACCCGACAGGAAATGCCGGACACGGTCGTCCGACAGGAAATGCCGGACACGATCGTCCGACAGGAAAATGCCGAGCACGCTTGCCCGACAGGAAAAATGCCAAGCCCTGCTTGGCCACGATGAGCGCCTTCACGAGGCACCTGCGCCTGGCGATACGTGCCCCATGCGAGCACACGCCCCAAGCCGCAATCCCGGTTTTCTTTCTTCCGGTAGTTCCAGGTCCAGTCCTTCTGCGCTGACGACCTGGTCTTCTGGACTTTGGTCCTGTTGCTTCAGCTCAAACCTGCGGCTTCCTTCAGTTGCTGATCTCGGCTCCGAAGGTCTTCTTTTTCCATAACCAGCAGTCCACAGCTGGACCAATTGAAAAGGAACCAACGGCTGTGTAAACATTCAACTAAGAAAAAGAAGGGAGGTATCGAGGCTTCTCTTGATCCGGCCTCCTATAACGCCTACGTTGGGTTCGGGAACAACGTATCAACGATCTCCGCAACGGAGTAACACACAAGGGCGATAACCTCTTCCTTTTCAGCAAATAGGTTCAGACGGGGATTACGGGTCTTCCGAAGTCGTCCCGGTCCCAACGCTTTAATTCTTCGATGTGGACTGTATAATTTTGAGGGACGAATTTCTTGGGAATAAAACAGCAATTATCTTCAAACCGTTCTGTGAGAGAGTAATTACTTTTCCCTATCACTTCCCTACACTTTTTCTTTCTTCTTATTGACTGCTGGTCTGATTCCCGAAGTTTCTTCGAATTGCAAGAAAACCCGTTTACTGAGCTACCCCAGAGCTATTCGCGAAAGTGAGCCGCGCCATTCGCGCGCTTGCGCAACTCAATTACATGAATTTGTTCTATCACTCTCTCACGGTTTACTTAATAACTTTATTTGCATAAGTCATACATTAACACAATTTACTTGTATAGATATCGCAAAAAAATATCTATACTACGAAATACATTACATTTTCATATCGCAAAAAACCTTTTAATTATTTAACAAAATATGCCTATTTTACTCACATGTTCGAAGTTGAAATTTCCTAAATATTTAACATAGAAAGTTAAAACAATGTTTTCCACTTGAAATTATACATATCTTAACTAATACAATAGTTTAATTTACATTTTTTCTGTTCATTTCACTATTAAATCACTTTTAAATTTCTTATACAAAACTATCATTATTTCACTTATTCACAGGAATTTTCACATAAAAATAACACAGAATTCACTTTTTTCCACGTACAATCAATCTGAAATGTTTCACAAGTCATTTCTACATAAATTGCTGAAATTACAAATATTTAAATTTTTACATATTTGGCCTCCTAAGTACGTGGCTAGCGTGCGTCTATGAACTCACACTATTTGAACAACTAACTTTTGCACGGCTATCGACTATCAGTAAAAATGGAAAGTTTAGTATACACTAATATCAACAATACTAGGTGAATAAATGATTCTAATCAATTCTCAAACGCCGAAAACTACCTCTAATCAGATTCTTATCAGTTATCATGTTTCTTATCAAACAATATAAGTGAATGTTTTCATAAATCAATCATAGCAAATAGGCATTTGTTTTCATACAAAACATATCAAACCCATATAAGACAACACTTATGCTATTAATTTCCATTAATTCTATTTACTCACAAAGTGATCATCTCGACCGGGGAATAAATCCGATCTCTAACTTTATTTTAATATTCCTTTAAATTTACATCATTGGAAAGATGATTTCAACCGGGGAACAAATCCGGTAACATAATTTATATCTTAAAAATTCCCTATATGAATTTATTAAGAGATATTACTAAGAAAACGATAAACCATTCCGGCCTGGGAGTCGAACCCAAGACCTTCATATCATTAATTCGATATTTCTTTAAGATTCAACTAAGCATTTTCTTATCGGAATATTGTTACTTGATAATTTGCCTTTTAGAAGCTATTCGTAATCGGTTAACTTAATAAATTGAAATATTCTTATAGGCGCGTCGCCAACAGTGCTCTTCTTACTTATTGTGCAAAAAAATTTAATTAAATAAATAAAATTTATCATAATGATTTCTTAAATTTACGCGAACACTACACATTGAATAAAACTATTATTTACGGATTTTATCGCATTTAATTACTTTAATTTATTTTTATTATTATCCCGACGTTTCGGGTGTTTTACAGCACCCATGGTCACGGGGTGACTGAGATGTTTGACGTCCCAATAAAGGGATAATAATAAAAATAAATTAAAGTAATTAAACGCGATAAAATCCGTTAATAATAGTTTTATTCAAAATTTATCATTTTAAAACAAAATTCATTTAGCATAATCGACATCCCTCATCAGCCATCACTGATATACGATCACTGCCGAATATAAAAAAATATTCGGATAATTACCCGAATGAAGTCCCCTTCAACTAAATTAATTTAGTTTAGGTAATTAAGTGTAATATTAGTATAATAATATTTTAGAGTACTGTATTAATAAAAAAATGTATTAAAAAAAACTGTAACTGATTTTTGACGTGTCTTGGAATTCGAACCCGGGAATATATGATCGGCAGTCGCGCTAACAACTACTAGATCATTGAGCCATTCAATAATAAAATAAATATAATATTTATTGCACTGTAATGAAACGTTACGAATAGGTTTTTGCTTTATAAAACGATACATGGATAAAATTAATGGCCTTTAACTATCTTAAATCTAAATAACGCTACAATGATAGATAGATACCAGCCCACATTTATCCTACCTAGGCAAAATCGGTGCGGGTCTATAGTCTTAAAATATATTTTTCAACGTAAATTGCGTACCTGGTGGACATTCCTCGTTGAAAATACACGTTCCATTGGGACCTCGCAAATAATCTTTTATACAGTTACATCCGGGTTCACACGGTTCATCAACGGGACAAACAAAATCTGTATAAGATATGTTACAAAACTGTGGTGGGCATTTCATCCTACATGGCGAGTATTCTTCATTGATTCCACATATAATAGGTGATGGAGCTGCAGAAGTTTTAACGAACAATTAATACATTTTTTTATTTGTTATTCTCAAAATAAAAAAAGATAATCATATATTTTTTTAATCTTATCGTGCATCTGAAAAAGATGTGCTCTTCTTAATCACTGTACAAAAACATTTTATTAAATAAATAAAATGATTATTTTCAAACAAAATTAATATAGCATCATCGTCATCCCTCATCACTCATCACTGATATGGGATCACTGCCGAATATAAAAAATATTCGGGTAATTGCCCGAATTTAGCCCCCTTCGGCTAAATTAATTTATTTTAGGTTGTGAAGTGTAATATTAGTATGGTAATATTTTAGAGTACTGTATTAATAAAAAATTACTGAGAAAAACTATAACTGATTTTTGACTTGTCCCGGAATTTGAACCCGGGAATACAATAAATAAAATAAAAAATATATGATCTGCAGTCACACTAACAACCACTTGATCAATGAGCCATTCCATAATAAAATAAATATAATATTTATTGCACTGTAATGAAACGTTACGAATAGGTTTTTGCTTTAAAAAACGATACATAGATAAAATTAATGGCCTTTAACTATCTTAAATCTAAATAACACTACAATGATAGATACCAGCCCACATTTATCCTACCTTGGCGAAAGCGGTGCGGGTCTATGGTCTTAAAATATATTTTTCAACGTAAAATACATACGTGGTGGACATTCTTCGTTAAAAATACACGTTCCATTGGGACCTCGCAAATAATCTTTTATACAGTTATATCCGGGTTCACACGGTTCATCAACGGGACAAACAAAATCTGTATATGATATGTTACAAAACTGTGGTGGGCATTTCATCCTACATGGCGAGTATTCTTCATTGATTCCACATATAATAGGTGATGGAGCTGCAGAATTTGTAACGGAAAATTTAATTTTTTTTTATTTGGTATTCTCAAAATAAAAAAAGATTATCATAATATTTTTTTAATCTTATCGTGCATCTGAAAAAATGTGCTCTTCTTAATTATTGTGCAAAAAAGTTTAATTAAATAAATAAAATTTTTATCATCACTTTAAAACAAAATTGATATAGCATTGTCGTCATCCCTTTTATCAGTCATCACTGACATGCGATCACTGCCGTATATAAAAAGTATTCGGGTAATTCGCCCGAATTTAGCCCCCTTCAGCTAAATTAATTTATTTTAGGTTGTGAATTGTAATATTAGTATAATAATATTTTAGAGTACTGTATTAATAAAAAAATGTATTAAGAAAAACAATAACTGATTTTTGACGTGTCCTGGAATTCGAACCCGGGAATATATGATATGCAATCGCGCTAACAACCTCTAGATCAATGAGCCAGTCAATATTAAAATAATATATTTATTTTATTTAAAATATATTAATTTATATTTACTGCAAAATTGTATTAACAAAAGTACACACCGTGGATTTCACGACAATTTGAGAGCACGCCAGCCACAGGCATCAAAGCAAAGTATATGATCAACATACTGCCTAAATGCGACTGTAACATTAAAAAAATGTGAAGCCTTATTTATAGACTATTAGTATCTTCGAAAAAACACCTGATAAAATAATGAATTCTTTTGGCTTGGAAACTTACACAAAAACATTACTAACAGTCAATTAACCTTGTAATAACTTTGGTAACGTTTTAACTTTTAATTTCTATAAAAATATCAACGTCTTTGTAATCCAACACCTCATTAAACAAAGGAGACGTTTAAATAAATTTATGGGTGACACTAAAACAATGAAAACACGTCGTTGAAATGTACACAGTGTTTTCTTTATTATTACGAGCAAAGCATAATCTCCACTCATCCTCGCTTGGTACTTTTTTCATAAAATAAGGTGAAAAACAAGCACACAGTCCACCTGATGATAAGTGGCTGCTATGACCCATAGACATCAACATCTATAATCGATTAAAAATCAAACGCTGTTTCATTGCTACCCCTGAGGACTAAGATGGAATGCCTCATTACCAGTAAAAAGGCTCTATTGTTTTCTACATTCATCATACGACTCAACACAGCATCATTATTCTACTGTTTTCCGCTAGTATTTTGTGAGAACGTAGTCTTACCCTCGTCAAGTTAACCTAATCATGATGTAGCTGTTTGTAGCTTAGCTGAAGCGTGGCTCTACCAATAAGCGCCTCCTATCCCCTATTTTTTATAGATACATATTTTCTAGGCTCTAGGTTGTTTAGCTAACAATGGTCAATTAAAGTAAATCGTCCACCATTAATCCACACGAACATACACAGAAATAATCTTAAATACTTCATCAATTCACTGAAGATGTAAAACGATATTTAAGAATATTTCGTTAGTTCGTTGTAATTTATGGGTAGCTTTAGCGCTATTTAAAGAGGTTTAAATAGAGCCGCCTTTCAGAGCGAATTGCAGAACAAGTGACCCTTGGGTATTACAGTGTTTAATTAACGTCTCGGGTACTTGGTCCAACGACATGGTATCCTTTAAATATTCATTTAACTGTGAACGCAGTATACTAAATCCCACCGTTTTGTACTCTGAAATTAGTGAATACAGTTTTTTAACACTTGATAATATTTATTAAATGTGTATCTTAAATGATAAGTAAATTTAACCGTGTACTGGGGTGTAAGTATGTACATTCCCTACATCGTCTCATAGATGTCGTAAGAGGCGTCACATAGAAACAAAGCAGGTGATCGGTAGCGGCATATAATATAAACAACTGAAAATAATCTAACCTAAAATAATTAAACCTCATAAAATCCGTAAAAATTAGTTTGACAATCCTTAAGAACATTAACCTTTTTACGTCCCGTTGCTGGACACAGACCACCTTTTATTTATCCATCTGGTCGATAGACATAAGATTTTCATGTGACGAAATACGTTACCCCTTTCATTTATATTTATACCATATAATAATAATAATAATGTCCTACAGACCGAATTTCGGCCACGGTAGGTATACATATATTATGATATAATAAAACGTACTCAGTATAAATTAAATTATCAACAATTGAAAAACTCTAACGAAATAGTTTTTTATTCCATATCGCGTTATATTTCAATTCTTAATGATAAAAAAGTTTCTAAATAAACTTAGTTATTTTAGTAACTTATTTATAAATTTAAGCGTTGAGATTCATTCACTTTTCATGAACAACAGCAGAAATAGAAATATATGTTATATATACGGTTAAAACATCGAGATAATGTGGAATTTAAATTTCCGTCGCCGTATAATATTGGAACGTCCCGGCTTGCTTTAATGAAACGATTTTTCGGAGTAATCCAAGCAATTGCTTGGGACACACTGTGCAATACTTCTCCGCAAGGACAGTGCATCAAAGCTGATCAGAAATAACTCGGTCATGGAAAGAGGAAAGAGAGAAAGAAAAATATTTATTATTGACTCACACAAGGCACCAGAATACAGAAACAATCAAAACAAAAAAATAACAATTTATGAACAAACAAACAGCCAGTTAAAATTAGGAGAAAAAAAATTATAATATATTCTTAAAACTAGTGCCTCAGGGTGATGCCAAAAGATAGGAACCAATTCAGCATGATGTCAGGTTGGAAGCCTAACGCTGATTTTCTATTGGCCCCCTGGATTGCATTCGTCTTCACCTCTGAAACCAGTTGCCGTGTACTTCCGCAAGAACAATCAGTATAAGTGAACTCTATGAAAAAACATATATAATTACTTATATAATAAACGATTAACAAAATATGTATATAATATATGACAGGATCAAATTAAATACTTTATTATTAAAAAGATACTGCGCGTGAAACTGTAACAACATAATAACATCAGTTAAAAATAAAAATAAAATAAATTAAAATAAAATATAGAACATAAAATGTACCTCTCAAATAAACATCAGATATAGGACATGTTAGCATGAGTGTTAACCATGCCATTAGGTGACTTTTAAAGGTAGTTATAGAGCTTAGCTGCCTTAGAGGTTACACGGTGGTATGTTATTCCATATTTTCGAGGCTGCATAGCGAAATACTCCCTTGAAAGATGCCGATTTGTGCTTTTGTATCGAAAGTTGCTGCGAGCACTGTCTTCTATCACATTGCCTCCTTGTAGTAACCCAGCCAAGTTTATTATACAAGTAAGATGGTTCTTGATGTTTTATGACGCCAAAAAGCAAGCACGCCAGATGCAATTTCTGTCTCGACTTCATTTTAAGCATTGCGTGATCATTAAAAATGGAGTGACGTGCCTCCGAAAAGGAACTGTGAAATAAAAACGGGCGCAAGCGTTTTGAACGCACTTGTACGGCGCTCTCCGTTCGGGCCAGTAGTCGCGGACCGTACACAGCATCAGCATAATTAAGCTTGGATAAGACTGACGTCTCCACCAGCTGTACACGCAATTCCTTCGACAAATACGGCCTAATTTTATATAACACTATGAGCCGGTAGAAGCAATTTTTGACAGCTTCGGCAACATGTTCCTCAAACACCCCATTATCACGCACACCAGCCCCCACCCAAAACCCCCCGCGCCCCCCACCCCCTCACACTGCCACCCCCCCCCCTCGCCCCCCCCCCCCAGGCCCGTAAGCCCTCATCAAGCTTTAAACCTAAGTTCCGTGCTATGTTTACCCTTTTTTACTTTCTTTCCCTTCAGTATAATGTCTAAATCTTCCGGTAATTTATTTAATTGATTCTTTGTCCCAAATATCATATAATTAGTTTCATCAGGGTTTATAGTAAACAGTAATACTCAGACCACACAGTGACACGTTTTAAATCGTCATTTAGATCCTTAACTGCTGTTTCCCATTGACTTGGTTTGAACGAGATGTAAAGTTGTGTGTCGTCTGCATACATATGATACTTACATTTTATAATATTTTTTGGTAAGTCCGCACAATATAGGTTATAAAGAATAGGGCCTAGAATGGAACCCTGTGGCACTCCTCTGTTCACAGGTGCTAGGTTACAATCCACAGAGGTTTCATTCCCACGACACAAGCTGACCAATTGCTTTCGATTGGATAAATAGCTATGGAACCAGGATAGCGTGCTACGTCCGAAACCATAAAAGCTCCTTTTTAAGAGTAATAAAGGTATATTTATGGCATCGAAGGCACGCGAGTAATCTAATAACACCATAGGGTGCACATGCCCTCGTCCTGGGCTGACAGGATATCCACTACATCAATCAGAGCTGTAGTAGTACTACGTCTCTTACGAAACCCAGACTGCAATTGAGGAAGAATGTTCTTTTGCTCAAGATGTTCCGTAAGCTGCTGGCAGACAATCTTTTATAATACTTTTGATAGGCTGGGTAAAATGCTAATAGGGCGTATATCTTTTAAGCTCAAGGGGTTATTATTATATAATATATGGTTATATAGCTATTTTCCAAAGGTCAGGGAACGCAGAGGTTAAGATTGACTTATTAATGATTGTATGTATGATCTCTAAAGAGTTAGGTAATGTCATGATTATCATTTTTAATGATAAATTGTCAATTCCTATTGCATTTTATTTTAAGCTGAGAATTACGCGTAAAATATCGTTCTGACCGACTGATGATATAGTGAATGTTGCATCGCCGAACCTGTGAAATTCAAAGTAGGTTAGATAAGACAGTGAAGCTTGTGGTTCTCCAGGCACGTCCAAAAAGTAATTGTTAATTTCATTTGCTTCATTAAAGTGTGAAGGCAATTCTACGGTCTGCTTTGGAGGTAATACTGTCCTTTTCAGATTTTTCCAAACCGATTTTGGATTATTAATTTTGTCATTTTTTTTATAAATTTGTAAATGGACGATACGAGCCGCTCATTGTGCATTGAGCAAATGTTAGAGCAATATTTTATATGCCGATAAGTCATCACAACGAAATTATTATCATCATCATTAATATTACAGCACTTCACAAGACAGCTGAATATAGACCCGAGGAATGCTACAAAACACGGCTCTGAGGCGTCTACATTCATCAAATTACTAGCATTTTTCCTAGGTCGTCACTCCATTTAGTATTACACTGCACTTCATTTAGGGATACGAGTCTACTACTCAAGAACCTTTCTTTCGATTGTTTGAACTATAGGGCTGGCCCGTTGCCACTTCAGCTTACTGATCTGTTGAGCTGTGTCGGTTACTCTAGCTCTACTGCGGATAACCTTATACTTAAATCTATAACGAAAGAGAAACACTGAGCATAGCGCTCTCTATAGCTCGCTGAGCGACCTATTTTTTTAACATGCGGAAATGCCTACACATACCCACCCCGCGGGGACAAGGACGGATTATGTTGGACTCACACTGACTAAAACCTCATGGTGTTCTACATTCGTACCATATTGGTAGGGCCACGGGAACGGTTTAGCACACACCTGCGGCCCCACCAGCGCCGGCCGCCCCGTGGTGACTCCTCTTCGAGAGAGGATTGCTCCTCCCCATCTCCTTCTCATGTAAGGCGCAGTAGAACACATGGCGCGCCTTG